GTGTTCTTGGAGAAGAAAATTGAGGACTGAAAGGTTGTGTAAGGTTAAGGGTGACGAAGATAGCTTGTGACCAAAAGGTGAAGTTGGCCCAAGTGGAAGTGGAAGTGTGAGTGGAAGTGGCCCAGAAAGGAACTGCAAGGTGAAAATACCAAGACCAAAGACTGCACAGCCCAGGAAAGGAGACTCGAGTGGGCTCCTTCCTTTCCCAAATATTACCCCTTTCAGGCTTAGTATGTTGGTTTTCAGTCGTAAGGTCAGGTGATCGGGGAGAAGTTGTGGGAGTTGCTGGAGAGATGGGATAGGAGATCGGTCACCTTGAGGATGGCAGATGGTACGTAAATTGCAGGCAGGTGGCAGAGGTTATGGCTTCCCGAAGTACAAAGAGGCCATCTAGATGAGCCTAGAGCGGGATATGAGTCGCAAAGACTAATGTTGTCATTTATGAGCTCTATTGGTCTGCCATTTTGGATCAACTGTGTTCCTCAAGCTCGTTATCGGATTGGAGAGCTGAGAACAACATCACTTGCCCTGTAGGAAGGAACTGAGGCGTCATATGGAGGAAGGATTAGGCTATGGGTACAACCGTTAGATATGCCATAGATCTGGCTCTGCTGTCCTGGTCAGATTTGTTGCTCTCGACGGTGACAGCCATGATGGTATATGATACGGTAGATGACTTGAGATCTGCTTGTGCGATGGTTCAGTTTGTGTCTGGTCTAGGAGACAGGATAGCAATAGTCTGGGAAGGGACTACCCATCCCCCTTTCCCGGTCAGCCAGCTCCATGTGAATCCACGCCAGCTTTCATGGCTCTGTAACCTTGGGGCTTGACATCCACGGTTTTTGTGCCTGTAAGCTTTACGAATCCCACAGGCCTCAAGAGAGCAGGCCTCTCTTCCATCTATAATCAGAAGACACCATGCATGTACCTCTCGAGCTTGTTTGTCACGAGAGAAAGGTCACTCAGCCACCCGGCTTCGCTTGGAGACCAGCTTCAGCCACAATGTTTGAGATAGCGAAGTTTGATACACGTTGCCTCATCATGCCCAGAGCCTAGGTATCTTGCTTACTTCTTTTCATCTTTGCAGCTATCCCGGAGTGAGTACGGCGGCTGTGCTTCGTAACAACGAATGCCTCGAGAGATACTCAACCAAACAGTTTGAGGCTCTACCGTGATGTACAACGAGCCTGCGAACACGCAAGTAACTGGCGACTTGACGAGGATAGCGTTCCAGCGAAACAACGTAGTCTACGACGGAAGAGCGTAGTCTCATCCGAGCCATATGAAACCATTCAGCAACTCCCCTCCCCAGAACAGGCGATGGCCTCATTCGAGCACACGCCTCCGAAGGACCAGGACTTCCAGCCCTACACAAGGCTGCGATTAAGGAACACCATCACATATCTGCTGTGTCTCATCTGCTTGGTACCCAAGGCCTTCACCCAAGCCGGCTGCTCGAATCACTCGCGCGTGTTTCCTCGATTTGCGACCTTAGGAAATCGACTGGCAGTAAGAACGACCATGGAGACCGACGCCGTGAACAATAGCTGCTAGAAGAACGACCGAAAATCAAAGTAGGCACTGACTTCCACATACTAAGAGGTCTGGGGCCGGTACTCTTTGTGAGATGATCTCACCATTATACGCCAAGTAGCATATCAAGCTGGATATCGGGCTGAGGCCGACAAGATCAACGACTGCTATCCTACTGGCTGGATATCTTCAGGTGTCTCTTTGCGTCCCTGTCCATTTGAATGGGAACTCAAACTGGATAGATGCATAGAGAAGTGCTTCCCAGTGGTTGCCAATGGCATGATCAACTCCTCGAGTATAGCCATAACACCATATGTGCAGAGAGGCATAAGAGGACACATGCCTACAACGTCTGACACCTAAGATCCCCATCGTTGTCAATCTGCAGACAGGTTGTAGTTCATTACTTCATCACGAAGGAAGGGCCAGATTGTATCAAGAGGCACGCTGAGGAACTCTGACTGACTTTACGCAGGCACAAGGTTGTCGTTCTCATGGGCATGCAGGAGGTTTGACAGTGAGCTGGATCATATGTCGTTGACTACGATCACGTGCCCGGCCTCTTTGACCAAACGGGGTATTGGTGAGCAATGAGCATTATCAAGTCTCAACTCGAGACTCAAGTTTGAGAAGAGACGCAACAACAAACACAATTTTCAGCCGGGTCGAGACCCCAGGCCTTCCTAGGTACTTTGAAAAGCGACGTGAGGCTTGAAGCATGGGAGAGCTGCAAGGAAATCCGCAGAACTTCCCTTGAAAGTCAAACTCGGCCGACATAAAGCCTACAGCATGCAAACATAAAACCTCCTAGGACGAGGGCCCTCAAAAGCCACAAAAGTATCTTACTTGGCAAGTCTGCCTCGAAAAAGTGGCTTGACACTTCACACTTCCTTCATATGCGGTGTGATAAGAGCTGCATCCCTTATTGGAAGTACCGCATGAACCAACGAGCCAGTACATCTCATAGATGACGCCAAAAATGGCCACTAGGCCGGATGGCACGGTTGGATGGATGGCGTCTAAGGGATTCGCGGCACCGGCGGTGACAACGGCAAACGAGACATCGACTGGAGGAAAAAAAAATGTGGTACGGCTGACGTCGAGAAAGTCGAGCAATGCGACCTGCGCAACCCCCCCTCCGATTTGCTTGATGGCGGGCCACTTGACTCGTCGTGGTGGGAGACATTGGCAATGGTACGCGGGGATCTAGAACGTGGTGAGGGGAGACAAGCCGAGAAGCCAAATGCATCATGTGCATACCAACGGCGGGGCTTGCATGAACGTTTTATTTTGTGTGCCGGGCCTTGCCAGCCCATGGTGTGAAGACAACGAGGGATCAACACATGAATGGTGGTGTACGAGCCACACGACCCCGAGGCGGAGCTGTATCGGAGACCGTCACCGCAAATTCGTTCTGGGCGAGGAGGCCGAGAATCAAGCTCGAAGCGGCCAACGGTAAACTCAGTCGGTCAGCGGGACAAACTCAGAAATGCGGAAAGTCTGGGCATTGATACTCCCTTTTTACCGCCTCATTTATCGCTGACATGGTAAACATTCAGGTCTCGCAAACATCGGATTATTACCCTTTATTCGATGTTGCTGCGCTCAACTGTGGCCGGAACTCTGACTGACGGCAAGCCATCTCAGGTTGGGGAAACGAAGAGATTCGGACATAGCTGCTTTGCTTGACCTGGGTTACCTTGTCAGCAAAAGGCGCGGACTCATCTCAAATGCCTCCTCTGGTTAAACTTGGCGGCCTCATCGCTTTACTACGGTGAAATGCCTGCACTTCTTCGTGTGTCTCAATCTAGCCCCCACCTGCATCAAACGAGAGACGGGTTTGTTTCACCTACGGGCTTCGTGGATCAGCAAGCACCAGCTGAGCTACTGATGGGTGACCGATAATGCGCTTGAGTGGCCGGGTTATTTGCGTTTAAACTGGTGTGCTCAGTAACACCGCGCACACCACAGCTCCAGTACTGGCCCATCTGATCGAGCTCCGACGAACTGTGCAATCGTGGCGACGGGATGCGTGGGCTGAGACGAGAGGGGAGTTGATATACTCCGGCCGGTCCCGTTTGCAAGGCCCCGTGGGTCCGCAGTCCGGGACAGCGCTGTCAAAGCTGTATCTAATACTCGGGTGATCAACGTCACACGAGTTGAATCGCGGGGATGTATATGGTTATTGAGATTCTTTGTCCCAAACGGGCGAAATGCAAGATCAATGAAGGCGAAGCAAGCAAGCCGGGCGAGCCGGCGAAGTGTGTCCAAATCATTGGCGTACTCTGCTACATCGTTATACCGACCGGTGAGATTATTGTAGATTCAGGGAATGCGAGCCGTGGGAGCCGTGTCGCGGTGGTTGCAGTTTTCCGTGCTGTGTCAATGTTTCACTCCACAAAGCCGTTATGAGCTAGACGCCCCCAGGCTGTCTGTCTCAGATGGGAGACGACGGCATGGGCGGCTCATCGAACCAGCGGGATAGGTATGTTATCTAGGTACAAGATATCATGTGCGTGTGCTCGTGAGGATGCCTAGTTCTAGTCATTATGTCCGTATGGCCATAGCCTTCTTTGTACATTTGACGAACTGATAGACACAACGGATTGTATCGTGCTACCTGGCTGCAGCAGTAACGACAGGTTGCAAGATAGCAGATGACGTAAAATGGACGGACCGAGGATGGCATATCGAACGGTCAATGGATCTCCACTGCTTGGAAAGGAAATAAAGTACGATCATGCGCATACGCAAAACAGGCCGGGGGGGGGGGGGGGGGGGTTTTTTGGTTGCCCTTGGGGGGGTTTTCCGCCCCCCCCCAACCGAGCCCGGGATGGGGACATGAACAAAAAGGCAAAAAAAGGGAACGGGTGGACAGGTGGGGGGGGGGGGGGGGGGGGGGGGGGGGGGGGGGGGGTGATCTATCGGTTGCCGTTGGCAGGTCTCTCAGCCACTGCCAACGCAGCCCCGAGTATGGTACATGACAAGAAGGCCAAGAATAGGAATGCTGTGACAATGTTGGGTGGCGCTGGGCAGATTTGCCTTGGACGGGTTCGAGGCATGTAGGCGACTACTATGGTGGTGATACTTCAACATTCGGTCAGTACGGAGTTGGTACGATCACCTACCTAGGTAGCGAAGGTTGCAAAGCAAGGTACCTACTTATCTCTTAGAGCCTTGCCTGAGGTAAGTAGGTACGTTGGAACCAGGGAAAACCTGCTCTGTTCCGTCAGCGTGAACTTGGAAGGCGCCATCTACCTAACCTGAGGTACTTGGTGCTTGCTTGCCTTGGCCTGAAGTTACAAACATGGAACTGGAAGGAACGAGGGTGGGATGATGTTCCTGCTTGCTGACTTCCCGTTCTATTCGATATTCGATGTACCTTACCTACATCACCTAAGGTAAGGTATGTTTTTTCTTTCCAAGACTTCTTCTGTCTTACGTAACGTTCTTGCCAGCGAAGATGGATGTCAGTCACGATCCTGATTCTTGGCCGAGAACCGACCAGACACTACAACATAATTGACAACTCAAAAGACCCAACCAGATCTGCCGTCTCGGGCCTTCAGCATACAGGCACAGATACATCAATACGTTCCCAAACTACCGACCCGGAGCAATCTGATTCGGCTGCACCCACCCGCGAGATTCCTGGTGCTAGGATTCACGCCAGGCGATCCGATACGATACCAGTCATCATTGACACCATTCCCAGCCAGGCCACCAGAACCTTTCACCTTCCGTGCCCCTCCGCCTCCGGTCATGTGTATCTGAGACTGCAACCACGGCCCCGTTTTAAACCAGGGCGTTCGGCTGCTCGATGCTGCAGTTCGTCGAGACAGATCAGGGAGATGATGGCGAGGTGGCCTGCGCTCTGCAGCGAGATCGGGGAGATGACGATTTCGCCATCTAAGTCTTTTAGCCAAGCAGGGCTGCATTCGTCTACCCGTACGAAGTACCTACGTGGTCTGATGAACGCATTCGCTGTCTGCCGAAGATTCCAACTGCCAACTCTATTTTACCTCAGTCAAGACAAAGCCTAGAAATGGTAATTTGAAGTGTTATGGGATCCGCGTGAACCTTGCTCGCTATCCTCATCATCGCCCAAAACCCCACTTAGGCGACAAGAAGCGATACCATCGCGGATCTTGAATTCGAGGGGCAACGAACGCCCGGCTCCGAGTCTCCGTCCCACAGCAATGAGCTGTTCTCCGGCTGCCGGGCCTCTCCCTGGAGCCACCGCCAGCATGACTGGTCGCAATGTGGGTCCACATGAGAATCCGCTGCAAATGCGACTTCCCAACCTAGGAAGTAAAATCAAAGCAGAGATAGACCAGGAATTAGCTAACAGGGTTGTGAAGGACAGTTCTGACTGAGGTACGCGCAGCCCGCATTTGACAGGGCTTGGTGGTGGCATCTGACGGCATAAGTCGACATTCATTCGGCTTTCACTTCATGGGCATCCTGGATATCGAATCGCATTCCACGGGTGGCCCCTTCATCCCAAGCCAACCCATCCCATGGAATTCCAAACCGATCAAAAGAGCGGTCGGCCACCTCGAGCAGACGAATTCGGTTGACCTCCCGATGGCCTTCCAACGACATCAGGCATGTCGATCAGCTAGATGTTAGGACAAGATCGCGCCGTTCAGGGGCACCGCATAGTGGCCAAGCATGACTCTCCGAATATTAGCCTTTCTGATTTCGGTCTCGTTGTCCGTGACGGACTGACTGTCCGCTGTCGCCCGTCAACCAGCTCGGAACGTCTGTCATGGCTTGCTCAATGTCAGGCACAGATATTGGGGCGCAATCATTCATCACCTAATTTACAAGCTAGGTACGCTTCAGGCGAGAATGGCCAAGTGGTTAAATGGGATCGCGATGGTAGCGCCGCGCTGGAACCCCACGGAGCCAATAGTGGCCGACTCGGACGGCCCAAGGCTCTTTGTTGAAATGAAGGCCGTGTCCGTCAGCAATTTTTAGCTCGGCAGTGGCCGTAATTTGCCGTCCCTGCGCATCTGCATCTGGTCCCCGTCACGGATGGTCACCCAAGCAGCAAGCAATGTCCAAACGATGGCGGGTACTTTGTGCGAATACAAACCTCGCTTCGTTGGGGATATGCTGTGCTGCGTTCGAGGGGTCTGGTCTGGGAATCCGGCGGGCTAGAGTCAGCCGCAAGTCCTCTTGGCAGGTCTAGAGTCTTGATGGACACGCGCCCAAACGGAGCTGTTGATGGAGTGTCGTTTGGCGTTTGGCGTCTGGACTCTGGATTCTGAACTTCCGAAAGACTTGATTGGGGAAGCCGTCGGGTCAGCAATGTGTGCCTATTTCCAGGCCAACAGTCAGGACCGGACGGTGGAGGGGATTTAATGTATCCTGTTCTTACGCTGTGGTCCTGAGAATCTCGAGAGGAAAGAAAAATTCCCGTAGGTGACCTCTGATCATGAGAGGCAGGGGAACGGCCCCCTACATCCCCGTCAGTCCCTGTCTGTTGACCAAGACTGGGCCTGGCGGCAGCTAGGATTGTTTGGATCAAATATGCGGAATGGGTCCAAGTCAAGGGCCTGTGGATCTCCGATTGATTGGCAGTTGCACAGTGTCGGGCGGCTGTTGTTTCTGATTGTCATGAGAATGGTCTCTTGTCGTCTCCTACAGTGGATCCATCGTGCCGGCCTCAGTCGAGTCTTCTTTGAACGACTTCTCCTTTTCAGGTCTGCTACCGTTACGACGACAGTAACGCGGCGCGCCCCCCAGAAAGGAGAATCCTGTATCCGTACGGTTACCGAGTGGCGCCACGCCTTGAGAGTCAAGATGCAATATCCATGGACACAAGTCAACTACGAGATACAGATTGGCGCAACCGACGAGTGAACACCAAGACCGCGCTACGGGAGGGAGGCAGAGTCCGAAACATTTGGCTGCTTGCCCTGCATTGTCATGTCAATGAAGCACAAGAAGCACGCCTAGGATAAAAGGAGACAACCTAACGGTGACTGGCAGGACTGGCAGGTTACAGTACGTCTATCTACGGACACAGATGGAAATACATGGCGCCGCCTCTGCACAGTCTCGCAGGGCGCAGGCGCAAAGGCCCTCAGGCTGGCCGCCGCATATCATTGCCCGGCCTCACTTGGCTCACAACTTGACGAATGCTGGGCGAACTCTGAATGAGAGCGCGCCATCGAGTCCATGGAAGACGCGACACACTCACACGCAGTACCTCTCACACCCACACCGTTATGCCCCTCCATCAGCGCAGTCAGTTGTCGTGCGACGAGTCCAATGAAGCCTTGGGATAAGGTGCGCAGACTGATCGACACTCCCGCTCTGGATAAATCTTGCTAAGACGGTATCTTGCCTGAGTCACATGGTTTTAAAGAGGATGCAGCTAGCAGGACTAGCGGCACATCTGGACGAGGAAGCGTGAGGTAGCGTACTGGCCCCCCATTTTCTCCATCGTGGCCCTATGGCGTGGTCGTCGTTTTAATAGGGGACCACCTTGACTCCTATTCTTCCTCTTCCTATCCCCTCTCAGGCTTCTCCCCTTGCCTGCAAGCCCACACACTCGTTGGCCATGTGGATCTTTGGCCCCAAGGGTTTTCTGCTTTAACGAGGGACCGGCCATGTCTCGCTCCCCTTTGAAAAAATGACCTAACAGGACAAAGGCGCGTGTCGCAAAATAGTGAGGAATTTAGCGCATACCCTCTCTCCGAAGTTCGAGTCCCGTTTTGCAGCCGTAGTAGGCGAGCGTGGTGGTCCCTCAAAATTGCCAAGTTCCAACGACACACGCAACTCATTCGGGGGTTTCTAGCGATGTGCTATGGAAGGGACTAGTGGACGAGGTTAAAGGAACGGCACTGGGCTGGGCTGAGGGCGCGGAAACGGTGGGAATGAACAGTACAGTTTGAGAAGACGGGAGATTCCCTTCAGAACGGAGGGCGGAATATGAAAGGCGACGGTATGGAAGGCAACCGCTACAGGTTGCCCAGCCATGCCGGCACTTGGCCGCTCGTTCCAACGTTTCCCATGTGTTCGTGTAGGGCAGAGGGAGCCGGCCCATACGGCGAACGAGAACACATCTGGAAGACGGATTACGGAGCGTGAGAACGATCGATCGGATTTATGTGCCTACGGCGAGTATTTGTGCCTTTTAGGTACTGTACCAGGCGAGTATCGGGGAGCCAACCAACCAGTCTTGAAGCTCTCGTCTGGTTCTCATTGCTACCCATCCATTCATTCTCTGAGGTGGTCGTGGGAGGTGCGTTGTGGTTGCAGGGTGGGCACACCTCTACTTTTGGTGGTGTCGCGATTTGCCCTGCAAAAAGCTTGCCTATGCAATGCACGAGAATGGAGCGCATTCAACGGCATCACCCTCGAAAGGGTGGGCGGCCGCAATATGACGTCCGTCATGGGCTTGCTGCAGGACATCACGCGAGTTTTCTGGCTGGATGAGAAGCCATTTTGAAGTGAATCTGTTTTGGAATCGATATGCCACATACGCGTAGGGACTGCTTTTCTTTCTTCCGACTTTCCTGAGAAGCCTCTCGTTTCTATTTTTCACTCCATTTTTGTTGTTTTGTTTCTAAGCAGTGTGTGTGGGAAGTGGTGAGGAACCATGGAAGTTTGGTACTGCGAGCCTGTGGCGCGAGAGCATCGTATCCTTTTCATTCGTTCATGCCAGCCTTCAACATCCCCTCATCCACTTTTCGATCGTCACGGCCTCGAGGTCTGGCCATCGAATGTAACGGTACCCAATACTCCTTGGATACTTCCAATACTTTTAGCACTCTAAGAGAGGGATACAGACGGTGAACCAGAAACGGTCCAGGGAGAAAGTAGCGGTATCAGGAGAAGAGGCCTGGACTGAAGATTACAGTGCGACATGAGTCACCAAGAAGGGAACTTTATTACACACACATCCCGCCGGTGACAGGAGGCCGAGCGAAGCCTCCCAGAGTCAGGCAGTCAGCGCCAGCTGGTTCAACTAATAATATTCCTAGTAGCGAAACTGCGACGTCTGCTTTGCGAGTCTGCGAACGTGGACGGCCGCCGTCGCGGGCACCCCTTTTTTCTTCGTTTCCCTTTCTAATCCATACCTTATCTGGCTGGATGGAGACAGTCTGTTGGATTCTGTAAAAGGGACCCGGCCGGGTGCTAGGTTCCAGGCCCGGGTTCAGCGCGTATCGAAATCACCCAGCCATCTCGTTATGGTCCACTGTGAATTTTGATAATCTGTTGGTCGCGTACGACAGAACGAGAAAAGGTCTAGAAAGAAAAAACGATTTAAACGGTTGCTGGGCCGGCGGGATGCGGCGGCGTAAAGAAGGGAGCGGGAGTCTGCGGCGGCTACGATGTTTCAACACCGGTTGGTTTGGTTCTCTTCTTCTCGTTGTTCCCATTCTTTCCAACAACAAAAGATACAACGGAGCCTGTGGTTGAAGGTACGGATACCTTATCCTATACGGATAATAGCGTCGTCGCATCGGAGGGGCAACCGGCGAACGACTTTTCTCTCCTTCTCTCTACATACTATCTTTCTGGGCGCGTTGCTGCGTAGCTGCTGCGTATTAGAGAGAAGAAGCAACGAAAAAAAGATTCATTCAGAAAAAAAAGATTAACAAATGAATTAGGACAGCCACTAACGTCTGGGAATGGCGGCGGGAGTGGGTCACCATGGCATGTTCCCGGCAAAGCAGCAGGGTCCAGGCAGGGAATGGCGAGGCATGGGCATGGATGTTCATGTACCTCTGTACCACACCCCTGACGCTGTCCAAAGTGTGGAAAGGCTCGTCCTTGTACCCCCCTGTCCGTCTTTTGCATCTTGCTCGTCCTGCACTCTCTTTTCTTTCTGGGCCCCCATGTAGTTAGTATCTTGTATACCGCAGTACGTATCTAGGCGCGGCGACTGGGTCA